TCATGAACGCCATGGTGGCTCACGTCCACCATTCCGCCCCGCTCCCAGTAGGCGCGAGGCGACCTACTGGGGACACCCTAGGTCCTTTGGAGGTGTGTGGCGTGCTGACACACTCTAAGGACCTAGCCTCGGACACAGACCTTCTTCTGTGTCGTGTTGGGCTCCAACCCAACAAAATGATTTGTTTGGAACTTGTCGTGCCTGGCTTCCCAGCCAGGCTCTCTGCTTTAATCGATTGTGGGGCGTCGAACAACTACGCCAGCCGCTCCACTCTCTCTCGCTTCAACCGCTTACCCACTTCGGATCTCTCCGACAGGGTTCGCGTCAAGATGGCCGACGGCCACACTGCGTCTCAACCACGCATAATCGTCGACGGTTTCGACTCGGTCGAAACGTTCTATGTTATCGACCTCGATGAGAGATGGGATCTCATCATCGGGATGTCCTGGCTGGAGTCCCACCAGCTATGGAGTGACCGGAAGGCCAAATCCGTGCACAAGGTTACTTGGCTCAACGCGAGCCTACCCTGGATTCGTCGGCGGGCTGCCGATCGCCTTCCCCCGTCCACCACCAATCCGCTTGGCCCTCCGCTAGAGGCGATGAGTAATGACCTCGCCTCTCCTAGCCCTGCAGCGCGCTCATTGGCCCCAGCGCCCGCGGTCCCAACGGACCCAACCACGGTTTTGCAAATTACCCCTTTCGTGCCCCCAACAGAGTCGCCCTCTGTTGTTATCGGTGAGGCTCCGTTACTGCCCCCGATAGCTGCCTCGACCTTGGCAGCCACGTTTATCGAAGAAACGTGTAACTTGCACGAACTCCCTCGGACGTCTTCCGAGATCCTGGCACTGACAGAGATGAGCCAGTCGCTCGTGGAATCTCTCCTCGCCCACGATATCGCCGCCTTGGCGATGATCACAGTCGAAGAAGAGATGGATCTCTTTTCGACCTCGACTGCAGATGACTCGGTCCTCGCGGCTCCTTTGAAGTCCCAGACGTGGGACTCCCTGCGATCCAAGCCCTATTTCGACCTCCTCCAAGAATTTGAGGATCTCTTCCCCGACGAGGTACCGTGTCGCCTCCCAGTCGACAAGGGCGTTCAACACGAGATTGACCTCGTGCCCGGCCCAAAGTATTGTGTAACGCGGCAATGGCCGCTTCCTCACGACCAAGTCGATGCCATCGACGCATTCTTCGCGGCCCGCAAGGCGGCGGGTCACGTCCGCAAGAGCATTTCCCCTCACAGCAGCCCGACCTTCTGTGTGAAGAAGCCCGGTGGGAAATGGCGTATTGTACACGCCTTTAACAAATTGAACGTTATTATCGACGGCATGGGTCGATCCACCATTTTCTCCACCATCGACCTTCGCGATGGCTTTTACCAGATCTTGATGCGTCTATGCGACGTCCCAAAAACGGCGGTTTCTACGCCGCGTGGCATGTTATGGGAGTGGCTGGTCATGCCACAGGGTCTGTCCAACGCCCCGGCGACGTTCAATCGAATGGTTACCGCGAAGTTCCGCGCGTTTCGCGACTTCGCACCGTCGTTCTTCGACGACATTTATGTTCACAGTTGCGCATCCTCCACGCAATCCGATCTTGACGTTCACCGCGGCCACCTCCGCAAGGTGCTTGAAGTCCTCCGTGCCAACGGACGCTATGCCAACCTCGCCAAATGTATGTTTGGCGTTGACGAAATCCCGGTCCTGGGAGATTTAGTGGGTGTGAACGGATGTCGGGCTGATCCCGAAAAGATCAAGGCCATTTCAGAGTGGCCTATCCCCTCCTCCGTCAAGGATCTTTGTCGCTGGCTGGGCCTTGCGACGTATCTACACAAATACTCGCAAAACTTTGCGGACATCGCCCAGCCGTTGTTCCGGCTTCTCCTCAAGGACGCCCCTTGGGTTTGGGACTCCGCTTGTCAGGAGGCTTTCGACGGCCTCAAAACCAACCTTCAACGCGCCCCGATCTTGGCGCTCCCGGATTTTGACAAACCTTTTTCCGTCGTTTGCGACGCTTCGCAATTCGCAATTGGCTGCTGCCTAATGCAGCTTGACTCCTCCGGTCACCCTCGCCCGGTCTCCTACCAAAGCCGCTAACTTCACGCGGCTGAGCGGGCAAACCCAGTCCACGATTTGGAACTTCTCTCCATGAAGTACGCCCTGACCAAGTTCCGCATCTACCTACTCGGCGGTAAACCCTTCGTAATCTACACCGATCATGCGTCCTTACGCACAGCGACGAACACGCCCCACCTTTCACATCGATGGCGCGCTGGATTTTGTTCTTCTCCGAATTCACATTTTCGGTACAGTACAAGCCTGGGAAGGACAACGTCCTGGCCGACGCCCTCTCTCGGCGTCCCGATCTCGAACTGACCACGATTGGTCTTTTAACGTCGGGTCTTCACGATCGAATTCGTGCAGCGTACCCCTTTGACGCTGACTGCTCGTCGCGCCTGGCGGCGCTCACCGACCCCGTTTCCCCCAAACCCCACCGTGCTTCGTCGGCCTTACACCGCTTCGCCCTCGCCGACGGGCCTTTGATGTTTCAACCCACCGCGGACTCACCGCCGCGCATTGTTGTGCCCGGTGACGCGCAACTGCGCCTCATTCTCCTTCGATCCTACCATGACTCCCCCAGCGGCGGCCATTTCGGCCGCGACAAAATGCACGCGGTCCTGGCGCGTTTATACTGGTGGCCCCGCATGTATAAATCCGTTGTGCGCTACGTCGCTCATTGCGACGCTTGCCAGCGCACTAAAATCACCGCCTCGTCTCGGGCTCCACTCTAACCTCTGCCTATTCCCGACGAACTTTGGTCGTCCGTCAGCATGGATTTCATGTTTGGCCTGACCCGCGACGCCCGCGGCAACACCGGCATTATGGTTTGTGTCGACCGAGCGTCGAAGTACGTTATTGCCGTTACCGTTCGGGACACACTGAGCGGCGCGGATGCCGCTCGCCTCTTTTTCGACCACGTTTTCTGTCGTTTTGGCCAGCCTCGCTCCATCGTTTCGGACCGCGACCCGCGGTTCATGGCGAAGTTTTGGCCCACCCTCTTCGCCCCCTCTGCGACACCTCGCTCGATATGTCGACTTCGGATCACCCCGAGTCCGACGGCCAAACGGAACGCGCCAACCGCGTCCTCGAAGATATCATCCGGAGCTACTCCGTTTCTACAGGTTCCTCTTGGGCTGTCACGCTACTGCACGCGGTTTTTGCTTACAATGCCTCAGTTCAGGCGTCCACTGGCTTTTCGCCGCATTATGCGGTCCATCTCCAACACCCCCGCCTCCCTCCTATGCTCGAGGGTTCGATCTCCAGTGGGGGTGGAGTCACTTCGCGGCTCCGTTCTGCAGACGTACTTTCCAACGCCCCCAGCCGCACTCTCGAAACCATTCAGAGTTTCCTCTCTCGTCGCGTCTCTGTTATACAACAGATCCATGACAGCATCACTGCCGCTCAGCAGCGCCAATCAACTCAAGCCAACAAACATGGCCGTTCTAACCTCGCGTCTTTCGCCGTGGGCGAACAAGTTCTCCTCCACAAGTCGGCGGTGCCCGCCCATGCATCCCGCGCACGAGCGGTTGGAATGTACTTTACCGTCCTTCGCGTGGTCAGTGCCACCAAACTAAAAGCTTGACCTGCCCACCTCATGGCAGATCCATCCAACATTCTATGTGGGTAAACTCAAACGTTATTTACCGTTATTATCTACTCCTACGACCGATGAAGTGACGGCAACCGATCCTTCGGATCCCACGACGGCTCTTCCTCTTCCGCCGCCTCCGACTCCCCAGCTGTCGCCGTCCTCGACATCGGCACCACCACTTGTTGCGGCGCCGCAATCGCCCGCGCCCCCGCCCGATAATCTGCGGCTGATTGCCGCTCCGCCGCTGTCAATTGACCATCCTGTTGGCCGACTGTACCCCGCGAACGGATTCGTCGGCCGCACCGCCACCTACACCGCTGTTTCCCGCACCTGCGCATCTTCGCGCGGCCACGTTGGCGAAGTCCATACGCTCGACCAGGCGCTCGCAGGGAGCACCGAAAACCCGCCTGGCGTCACTTGCAATTGCGCCGCCGCCGACATCGCCGCTTGGCCCCGAAGGGGTGAGCGCCCTGGCACCGCCGATCGCCCACGCGATGCTCTCGAACCCCATAAGTAGCCTGGGGCCTGAACCCATAGCGGCAGCGTTTGCTGTGGCATTTGTCATAGCGTCGAGCACATCACTAATGAGAGGTCGTGAAAGTACTTCTGAGCAATAGAGCATGGAAAATCCCAAAGACGCGGGTCCTATCATGGAACAGTAGCAAGCGTAAGGTATGTCTGCCTGATTGTTAATCAAGTTTTGCAGTAAACTTAATAAGGTTTTACAGGTAAACTTCCGGTGTGATGATACATTATAGATGACTTGTGAAACCTCTTTATTATCCGTAAGCGACCGAACCTCGGCGAAATACGGCCAAAGTGCCCCTTCATGACAGCTACCCCACTCCAGGGACCACAGGTGCAGTAGCGGATTCTCCTTGACACTGGCGTCAAAGTAGCCCTGTTGGACGGTCAGCAGCTGGATGTTGGCCCCAAAGAGCGTCCCGGCCACGAGGATGATGGCCATGGATTGGACTGTCTTGTCCAGTAGCCACACGCAGGCCATGACCAGCGTGAACGTGAGCACGAGCTGCACCGCCGGGAAGATGGGGCGCAAGTAAAAGTAGTAAGTGACCTCAGTTTGCAATTTACTGTTAATTCGGCCTCCCCAAGGGGTTCCCGTCCGGGGAGATGCGGGAACTGGACGAAAACTCATCATAACACGAAGTTATGTAAGGCCAAAATCGAGGCATTTCTGCATGGCGAAAGCAAATTCTGGAATTTCGTCGGAGTCATCCAACTTGTTGGAGAGGGACTTTGGCTGTTGTACTGATACGTTTTCTATCGCTCGCTGCAAGTGTAGTGTTTGCATATTCAGAAAATTCGCGCCGTTTCACATTGAAAACAGAGCAGTTCCGGATACTGCATCACGTTTGCGGATGCAATATTTGTATTGCGCATGTGCATGTTTTGTGGTACTCCGACGGCATGTCGACATGCGCATATATCGAAGATGGACGAACTTCGATGTCGCTTTTCTCGAACCGCGTGATACTTAGCGCAATCCTACTGATACTACAAGATAGCCCATTACTAGCTCAGCCTATGCAGCATGGCCTACGCATGCACAGCTCACTCTGTCATAAGGCATCTTACCCGCACGTACACGCTTGTTCTTGAAATACGACGAATTTGGCAAGTTCGAGGTTATCTTTCTCTACACTTTTTGATTCAGGTGACATGCAATAAGGTGTTGTAGATAGTATTGGTTGTTATGAGGAGTGGAGAGTTTCGTGACTCGTTGTGCAGTATGCATTGAGAAATCGCTGACCTGTATCGCGCCTTTCCCGCATGTACGCCTGCACAATCTGCAGGGAGATGAGGGAAATATGGCATTCAAATGGTATTCTACGAATTAATCCATTCGTGTGAAGAAATCCTTGTGCTGCGCTCGGTAGTTGTTATGTCGGACGTGTGCCACAAGGTGTATCATCCAGCCATCTGAACAACCCACCAACGTCACGGCAGCGTCGTCGACTTCAACATGAGGCCGAGCATTATCTTGTTGGATGTAGATCGGTTGACTGCGTTGACCGGGCCACATCTTCTTGATCGTCGAGATCACATGCTCCAGCAGATACGCCGGTCACAGCCACCGGAGTTCCACGCTCGCGATTTTTGCTCTTTCGTTGAGCTGGCACAACCGACACGAAGGGCCACATGCCGATTTTGCCGTCCCACATCTTCCTCAGGGCGTCCTCAAAGCGCGGCCTTGCCTCGGCTGTCAAAAACATCACCTTGATGATGTGACGCTTCGATGAACGCTTGCGGACAGGAACGGCTTCATCATGCCAGAGGTAGTACCGAGGGTTCACCAGCGTCAGGTAGAACCACTTTTCGTCGATGTGCACGCGGTCGAGCATGTCGTCCCACCGCATCTGGACATTGGATGCCGCATGAACAAATAACCGAACGAACTCAACGCGGTCGGCCTTGTGCCTCTCCGTCACCATCGGCTTCAGTCGTCTGCTCTGACATTGAAGCTTCTTCGTCTGAAGCACGCGCCAATCCGTAGTTGATGGGTTGCCGCTGGATGCTGCTAACATAGCAAATGTCTTGCGCAGATGCGGAGGGACACTCTTCACGGCTGCCTCGACTACGTCCATGGTGCGCTTGGGTGGCCGCCCCAATCGACCCTTATTCATCACGGCCACGTCAGACAGGGTCCTTGATTGCAAAACTTTGAGAGCGTCTGCCTTGAGATGCCATACTTCTGAAGGAGCTCTGCGGCCTAGCCCTTGGCCAGGCGCCCGTTTTGCTTGTTCTCCAGAAGATTGTGGTACAAACTCTACCGTTGGTCGTTGGGAAGGTCGTGGTTCGTCGTGTGCTATCTATATCTACGGAACGAGACGAGTCGTTTGCGCGTGATTTGAGCTTGATTGGATGCGAAATGGCGGAGTTACGTAAGTTTATAGATTCGCTGTCCTTGGCCGAGAACTTTGATCCTTGGTTGTGAAGCGGCAAGAAGCAATAAAAAAAATCTGAAAATAGCCCGTTCTTGTCGTTTCATTGGCTATCTTTGGTCCAAATTTCGTTCGATTTTGGAGGTTTTTGACACAGAAATTGATTTGAGAGTTATATGTCTCTGGTTTTACGGAATGGAGGAAGTATATTACTAAATGGACCTTTTACCTCCATTTTGAAGAGGTATTTCTTGTTTAGGGTGCGATTGCTAACATTTCAAAAATACTGCTTCCTCTGTTAGCTATTACTGGCATCATAAGGGTTTGAAGCGTCCCCAAAAATACATTTTTGGGCCAAATTTGATATTGGATATCACGAAAAATAGAGAATCAAAAACTGGAGGTAAAGTCCATTGGCAAGGTAGCACCAAAACAAAGTTTGGGTGGTCAATATCGACAAGGCATTAGCACCACCAGATCAATTTAAATTAATAATAATAAAATTGAATAAAACCACGGGGCCTGTGTCCACAATTGAATTTCCCGCCAGAGCACTCCCCCACGCCCGACACGTGAATTGAGTGCTGCTGTCAAGCGTGAAGTAGCCACCACTTTTCAAGTCAACATGGTCATGGGCAAGTTGCCACGAGGAACAACCAAGGCGGTTTCAGAGCAATTCCAACTAGACCGAAGCACCGTACGTGGAGCCGATTCAAGATTGGCAACGAAGTCTCTCAAGCTCGGCCGCGTTGGACCCAAGATTAGCCATTCAGCCCAAGAGATAAAGGCGCTAATAAGACAAGTACCTTCCCAACAACGCAGCACATTAAGAGAGATGTCCGAAGCCACCGAACTGACCACCTTCAATCTCAGTCGTGCCCTCAAGGATGGAATCATGCACCGCTGCTTGTCGCGTCTGAAACCCCACCTCACGGAGGCGAACAAGCAAGAGCGCCTTGCCACTGCGGGGTCCAAGTCGCGCTTACCCAAGCTGCTATCGATGGCTACAATGCTGTCGACGCTGTGCCGCCAGGGCCGGCACCATGCCCGAAGTCGAGATTTTGGGCATGTGGGACATCGTGCATCTTGATGAGGAGTGGTACAAGGTCTTCCGCAAGACGTATCTGGTGGAAGGTGAGGATGTTGGATTCCGTGCTTGCAAGTCCAACTGCTTCGTTCCGAAGCTCATGTTTCTGTGTGCGTTCGCTCGGCCGTGCGAAGAGGATGGCTTTGATGGAAAGATCGGCATGTGGCCATTTGTTTCCCAAGCCCCCGCTGTACGCAATTCACGCGATCGACCTGCTGGAACGATAGTGACAACCGTCATAAATGTTGACGCCGCCACGTACCGCGATTATGTGCTCAACAGAGTTGTACTTGCCGTCAAGGAGAAATACTGTAACTCCAACAAGCGAGTCGTGTTACAGCATGACAACGCTACTCCCCACCGATCGATCGACGATGCGGCTCTCGCGCAAGTTTCCACCGACGGTTGGACGTTTGTGGTTCGTCGGCAGCCTCCAAACAGTCCGGACCTCAACGTGCTCAACCTCTAACAGAGTATTCCGTTTTCTCGAAAACTGGGATTAACCAAAATAACGAGTAAATCCCAATTAGTTTTAGTGGATTTGGGGGTTAAAACGCTTCAAGCAATTTTAATCAGATTCATTGAATTCGGCCCCAAAATGACGTTTTGGGCCTGAATATTGCAATATTTCCTGTTACCAGAAAATGGAACATTGACATTTTAAATGTTACCCCTAACGTTAATGTAATACTAGTACTATACTTCCTCTGTTCCACATTAGAGCCTGTTCGGGGAAAATACCGAGACAAAAATCCATGATGGAACGCAATCTGATTGGTGGATTGAAACTGCAATTACCGAGACGCAACCGGAATCCGGATGTGTCTTGGTTGAATTTCGTCTGGATTTTGCGATATCGAACAGAGACCCCCCGTGTCGGTTTTTGGTCACCATGGGCCAACCACGACGCATGCGGATTCCGGATACAAGGCACTCACAATTCAATTGACGGGATGAGTCGCAAAGCGAGTCAACGCGGAGATGAACCTGTGGTGGACGATGAAGGAGGTCTGATACTGACCGGTAAAGGTGATATTCAAAGTGTTTCTGATGTTCTCAATGCAATAGAAGGTAACCTTATGGTCCTAGGCAACAACAACGGAACCAGTGGTGCGATCAAACGCTCAAAGCTAGGCCGCCACCCTGCTGCAGTGAGCGGGAAGACAGCAGCCAAGTGGTCCAACGACTCGGTGACCTGTA